CTCTGATACCATGAAAATTCCAGCGCAACTCTCCACTAATTGGGAGATCTTCCGATTCCTTCTTAAAAATAAGCCACTTCCTATTCCGACGTCTCCCAGCAATGAGCCTCTCGACATTGCGATTGGTCGGCTTTGAGAAAATATCTCCGAAGCACTTGTGGCTGCTTCAAAACCCAAATTTAAAACCGCACCTATTAAATTACCTCCAGATATTCGTTCCAAAATTCGCCACAGAAATAGGGTACGGAGATTTTGGCAAAGATCTAGAGACCCTGCTCTTAAAAATGAACTCCGTACTATCAGCAACGAGATCGCCAGTGATATCAGACACCTCTCCCGTGCAAGATGGAAGAAAACAATTGAGGAGTTATCTCCCGAAACAGGCACTCTTTGGAGGCGTACCTCCTTTCTCAAAAAGCCTTTTCATCACATTCCCCCCCTAAAGGGCGCTCTCGGCAGTATCGCAGTTGCCCCAATTGAAAAGGCCGAGGTAATTGCTGACAGCCTTCAAAAACAATTTGAACCAAATACTGATGTGGAGAATCCTAGATTCTCTGCACATATACAAATGAAGGTCCGAAGATTCCTTGATTCCCCTACCTGTATGGATCTGGAAAAAACATCTCCCTCTGAAATACAGGGATTCATTAAAAATCTCAAACCAAACAAATCTCCTGGTATTGATCTCATCACAAATCGTATCCTTAAAAATCTTCCCACTAAATTTATCATTTTCATTGCTTTGCTGTTCAACATGCTTTTGGAAAATTGCTACTTCCCTAAAAGTTGGAGGATGGCCGTGGTGATCCCCATTCTTAAACCCAATTCTGATGACTCTAATCCTCAAAATTATCGTCCAATCTCACTACTTAGTAGCTTGAGTAAAGCATACGAATTCGTGATTTTGAACCGCCTGAACCAACACTGCTTAGCCAGGAATATCATTATTTCAGAACAGCATGGCTTTGTAACTAAGTGCTCTACAGTAGCCCAGTTACTCAGAGTCACTGAATTGGTTCACACAGGCTTCCAAAACCATCAGGCCACGGGTATGCTACTTGTGGACATAGCCAAAGCCTTTGACAAAATTTGGTATGATGGCTTAATATCCAAGATGATGAGACTTGGATTTTCGGACCAAATCCTAAGAATTATTCACTCATACCTAAACTCGAGAGAGTTTAGAGTTAGAGTCGAAAACTGCATCTCCAGCCCTCGTCCAGTAAAAAGTGGAATTCCTCAAGGAAGTTTGCTTGGACCAAGACTTTTTAACTTATATATTAACGACATTCCAAAGGCTGACAATGTCCATTTAGCTATGTATGCGGATGACACTGCTATCATTAGTCAACACACTTATAATTTCAAAATTATTGAAGAATTACAAAATTACATCACAAGGCTTCAGCTCTGGCTCGTTGCTTGGAAAATCAAAGCTAATGCATCAAAAAGCGCAAGCCTCTTCTTTACGAAACAAAGGTGTATAGGAAACTTACCCAATATCTATATTTTTGACCAACCCGTCCCCTGGGTCACTGAATTTAAGTACCTAGGGTTTATTCTCGACGCAAAATTGAACTTCTCCCCCCACATCCGTGCTGCACTTCAAAAAGCGGCAGGAATGAGCCAAACGCTCAATTGCTTAATTTCTCGAAAGTGTAAGCTCCCAATCAGACACAAGGTTTTGCTCTATAAATTATTTCTTCGACCAATTTTGTTATATGCATCTCCCATCTGGGCTTCTGCGGCAGTAACTCACTTGAAAAAAATTGCACGTTTTTCAAAATAAACACCTTCGAAAACTTACTAATGCTCCCTGGTTTGTCAGAAACGAAATCTTGCACAAAGATCTCAATATTGAATCAATTCTTGATTTCATTAAAAATCAGTCCAAAAAGTTTTTTGACAGATTACCTCAAATTCCTAACCAATCTATCCGAGTCATCCCTGCCTATGATAACTCGGTCCCAAGCTCTGCAAAAAGACCTAGAGCTGCTCTTCACCACATATATCAGCATTTTCCAGTCATTAAAAGACTTCGGAGATCCTAAATATAGTCTTTCGTAACTCTTTTAATTTTTTTTTTCTGTCTAAAAAAAAACCCCTCTAATTTTAACTTTTGTCATTTTGTATGTGCAAGATTTCATCTCCATTAAATTACTTCGACTTAAACCCACATTCTTTTGAATCGGTCTTGCGTGGTAGTTTAATTCCATGTCTATTATTCTCCTTTTCCACATCTTTTGTGGATCATCTTTTATTTTACTCATTTTCCAGCAGATGGCATCACATTATGGACACTTTCTGTGTCAACGCCTTCTCTTTTCGATCTCTGTTCAGCGACACTCCCGTCATCACTACACGATTCAGCAGTGTTTGTCCTTTCCCTTTACTTAAACATCAAGTACCACGAGCACCACGGCATTAATTGCTTTTATTTTCCATTTCATCTTTTTTATCTTCCAAATTCCGTGTCTACTTTCTGATTTCGTTCCGTTAAGGACGAATTAGTGTAGAGCACAGATTCTTGCCACCTCCCTCCGGGATGGTGCCTCATTAAATATGTTCCATACTTGCCGATTGAATTATTTCTGGCTCTCTCACTGGTAGTATGTCCTCGGCTACTGGTGAGAAGCTTTCTTTTAGAACGGCTCTGAGCTGTTGTTAATAATTTTGTTAGTAACTTTTAAATTTTATGGAACTTTCAATTAATTCTTCTTTTTTTCTTATTAATTATGATGAGAGGATAATACTGTTTTTTGGTAAGGTACCTCGTATTTTTTGAAGCCGTGGGCACAGAATTCACCTAAGCGGTCATCGTTACTCATAGCCACGCCTCCCGACCAATAGAAACAGACCGTAGGAACCTCACTCCACATCATATTAACCAGTTGCTAAAAATCAAAAATTACTTCCGATAACGTTACCATCAAACCCTCAATTCCATTTTTAAATCGCATTACAATAGAGCACAATCGGATCTTAAAAAAGAACTTAAAAAATATAATGATAACATTTGGCAAAAAAGACTTGAAGCTCTAAATACCGCAGACAATTGCCTTTGGCGCATGCAAAGATTTTTTAAAAATAAAAGACCAAAAATCCCACCACTAAATTGTGCAACAGGTACGGCAGTCACTGATCAGCAAAAAGCTAACCTCCTCGCTACTAACATTAAAAATAATTTTGTGGAAAATGAACGCGAAAATGATAATTACAATCAAAATGATGAATTAATTAACACTACCGTAAATAACTTCCTTTCAACTCGTCCTAACTCCTTCATTTAACCTGCTCTTCCGGACGAAATAATCCACTATATTAAACATGTTAATGCCAAAAAAGCCCCTGGTGAATACTCAATTACTAACCGCATGTTAAAAAATTTTCCCATTAAATTAATCCTTATTTTAACAATTCTATTTTCAACACAATTCTCAAATTCAATCACTTTCCAGACAACTGGAAAGAAGCCATTATTTTCCCCATTAACAAATCTGACAAGAATCCCCACCTAGCATCCAGTTACAGGCCCATATATCTCCTTTCCACAATCGGTAAACTAACCGAATCTATTATCCTTCATAGACTAAAAAATTTCATCAATGAAAATAACCTTCTTAATCCCAATCAATATGGTTTCACTAACAAGCTCTCTACCTTACACCCACTTTTAAGATTAACTGAACATATCTCTGAAGGTTTCCAGAAAAAGAAAAGCACGGGAGCAGTTTTTCTGGATATCCAGAAAGCCTTCGACCGTGTTTGGATTAATGGATCTCCTTTTTACTAGACAGGCGCTTTAACCAACTAAGCCACGGCGCCTGCAATCTATCTATGTGTTAGGAGTCTGCTAATCATAAATAAAGAAAATTGCTCCAAAAAATAATTCAAAAGACGGTTTCTGAACTTTTCTCAAAACTTGCATTGATAAACTATACTCTCCCTTCTAAGTTGTTTCAGATTGCACGTCTAGCATTAGAAACAATGTTTTTCTAAATACAATGACATGAGTAAACTAAACATGACAGATTTGTAACAATACAAAATTTGAAGCTATTTAAAAAGGCACCGACGATATCCGAACTCGTGATTTCCTGTTTACTAGACAGGCGCTTTAGGGTAACAGGACACCTTCGAAGAAAGGTTTTGAATTAACATGAATTTTGCCTGTAAATGCATAGTTTATGACCTTATGGGTCTCTCAAGTTAGAAAAATACCGAGGAAAAGTTTTATTAGCGCACATTTTTACTGTCAAAGGGGTATCTTATAAAAAAAAAATGCAAAACTAAGACTTTACGCAAAACATGATAACTGAAAATAATATAAATATATTGACATTTTGTGTAAATTGTGTGTGTGTGTGTGAATAATAAAGCATACAAATTTATCTAAGGAAAATACTCTTATTTTTGTAATATGACTATTCCGTGGGAACTTATTGTGTTTCGAACTTCACAATACGTTGAAATTATCTTAAAAGTTATTGTAATTTTTAGTTTATTGCTATATAAAAAAAATTCTACTCAACACAAAATCTTATGAATGGTCTATTCCCTGTATAAGTGTCCCCACTTTATCAATGCAATTTTTCAGAAAAGTTCTAAAACCCTCTTTTGAATTATTTTTGGAGCAATTCTTTTTATTTATAATTAGCAGACTCACAACATGCATGTTGATCGCAGGCGCAGTGTCTTAGTTGGTTAAGACCGCGTGTCAAGTACACAGGGAAATCATGAGTTTGAATCTCATCCTTTCCTTAAAGAGCTTTAATTTTAGTAATGACACAAATTAGTGGTGTTTCGTTTGCAAATACCATTGTATTCAAAAAACACTTTTTCCAATACTTATCGTGCAATACGATACAAACTTAGAAAAGGAGAAGATAGTTTTTCTAAGCAATTTTTGAGAAAAATTCGGAATATTTCTTTGAATTATATTTTCCGAGCAATTCTCTTTATTTCAGATTATCTGACGCAAAAACATGAACAAAGTTCGTTATGCCGTGGCTTAGTTGGTTAAAAGCGCCTGTCTAGTAAACAGGAGATCACGAGTTCGAATCTCGTCGGTACCTTCTTAAATAGATTTAATTTTTGTATTGTGCCATATAAATCAGTGATGGTTCTTTCACTCATGTTATTGTATTTAGAAAAAAATATTGTTTCTAATGCTAGGCTTGCACTACAGAAATAACTTAGAAGGAGGGTATACTTTATCAATGTTAAGTTTTGAGAAAGTTCAGCAACCATCTTTTGATTTATTTTTCGGAGAAATTCTCTTTATTTACGATTAGCAGATTCCTAACATATATGTAGTTCGCAGGCGTTGTGGCTTAGTTGTTAAAGCGCCTGTCTAGTAAATAGGAGATCACGAGTTCGAATCTCGTCGGTGCCTTAGTAAAAGAAATCCCCAAATTTTTGTATTGATACGGATAAGTAATTGTTAATTTGCTCATGACATTTCATACAAAACCTTTTTGTCAATGCTAGTCGTTAATACGGAAAAAATTAGAAAGGCGAGAGGATAGTTTTTTAATGTATTTTTTAGTAAAGTTCATTTTCATTTGATATATTTAGGTGCAATTCTCCTTATTTATGATTAGCAGACACAAAACATGTATGTATGTCGCGAGGCCGTGGCTTAGTCGGTTAAAGAGATTGTCTAGTAAACAGAAATTCGCGAGTTCGAATCTCGTGGGTGCCTTAGTAAAGAACTTTAAACTTTGTATTCATACAAATCGGTCGTGGTTCGTTAACTAATGTCATTGAATTTAGAAAAACATTGTTCCTAATGCTAAGCGTGGAATACGAAACAACTTAGAAGGGAGAGTATAGTTTATGAACGCAAATTTTGAAAAAATTTCAGAAACCGTCTTTTGAATTAGTTCTGGTGCAATTCGTTTTATTTATAATTAGCAGACTCACAACATACATGTTGATCGCAGGCGCCGTGGCTTAGTTGGTTAAAGCGCCTGTCTAGTAAACAGGAGATCACGAGTTCGAATCTCGTCGGTGCCTTCTTAAATAGCTTTAAATTTTGTATTGTTACAAATCAGTGGTGGTTCTTTCACTCATGTCATTGTATTTAGAAAAACATTGTTTCTAAAGCTAGGCTTGCACTACGAAATAACTTAGAAGGAGGTATAGTTTATCAATACAAGTTTTGAGAAAAGTTCAGCAACCATCTTTTGATTTATTTTCGGAGCAATTCTCTTTATTTATGATTAGCAGATTCCTAACATATATGTAGTTCGCAGGCGCCGTGGCTCAGTTGGTTAAAGAGATTGTATAGTAAACAGAAATTCGCGAGTTCGAATCTCGTCGGTGCCTTAGTAAAGAACTTTAAACTTTGTATTCATACAAATCGGTCGTGGTTCGTTAACTAATGTCATTGAATTTAGAAAAACATTGTTCCTAATGCTAAGCGTGGAATACGAAACAACTTAGAAGGGAGAGTATAGTTTATGACTGCAAATTTTGAAAAAAATTCAGAAACCGTCTTTTGAATTATTTCTGGAGCAATTCACGTTTTATTTATAATTAGCAGACTCAAAAACATACATGTTGATCGCAGGCTCCGTGGCTTAGTTGGTTAAAGCGCCTGTCTAGTAAACAGGAGATCACGAGTTCGAATCTCGTCGGTGCCTTAGTAAAGAACGTTAAATTTTGTATTGATAGAAATCTGTCGTGATTCGTTAACTAATGCCTTTGAATTTAAAAAAAACTTTGTTTCGAATGCTAAGCTTGCAGTACGAAAAAATTTAGAAGAGAGAGGACACTTTATCAATGCAATTTTTCAGAAAAGTTCTAAAACCCTCTTTTGAATTATTTTTGGAGCAATTCTTTTATTTATAATTAGCAGACTCACAACATGCATGTTGATCGCAGGCGCCGTGTCTTAGTTATATTAAGACGCGTGTCAAGTACACAGAAATCATCATGAGTTTGAATCTCATCCTTTCTTAAAGAGCTTTAATTTTAGTAATGACACAAATTAGTGGTGTTTCGTTTGCAAATACCATTGTATTCAAAAGAACACTTTTCCAATACTTATCGTGCAATACGATACAAATTAGTAAGGAGAAGATAGTTTTTTCTAAGCAATTTTTGAGAAAAATTTTGGAATATTTCTTTTGAATTATATTGCCGCACGCATAATTTGCTACAGGTCCCGATAGCCGAGTTGGCAGAGCGTTGGACTGAACTTCCTTAGGTCTCGGGTTCGAATCCCGGCCCCGGCAGATTTATCCAAAGACTGGAATTTTGTTCTCGTTTTTAATGTATTGTTTCTCTAGGTTCTAGATGAATCCAGATCATTCTTTATAGTGCATACTGGGTATTTCTCGAATATTCCGAAGTGTATAAAAGCAGAGTTCATCGCCAGTTGGGCATGTTCTCAGTCCAGTGTTGTATCGAGCTCCCAGCGTTAGAATAAATCTAATTGATTGTTTAATTGAACTGTGTACTTCTCTTTCGAACTCCGTGACGAGTTTGGTGGAGGCGCGGGTACAATTACGTCAAACGTGGATAATGGCGACAACCTTCGCAGGAGCCTCCGGTTAAGAGGATTATCCCCCCCGAATTCGGACTCTTAAAAGAAAATAGTAGGAAGAGGACAAAAATGCCAACCGAGCAAGAAGCCAAGCCCGCTGTAGTAACACCTTCGTTACAGCAATGGAGGAGCCCATCGACCTTCCGAGGAGCGCCTGGGGAAGACCCTCTCAAATGGCTTAAAAGAGTACGATCGAGTAGCCAACTTTAACAAGTGGGATGACATGATGTGCCTGGCTAACGTTTATTTCTTTCTTGACGGTACTGCGAGACAGTGGTATGTCAACAACGAAGACTCCTTAGATTCCTGGGAAGCGTTTAAAATGGACTAAGTGGACTTTTCGGTGACCGTCAAAAAATATACCAGAAGGGCAGAAGAACAACTAAAATGCCGAGACCAGCATTCAGGCGAGGAATTGCACAGTCCCACTACATACAAAGTGTATTAGGACTTTGCCAAAAGGTAAATCCTCTGATGGAGAAGACGAAAAAGTGTCACACCTAATGAAAGGTATTTGCTGAGGATATTGCTTATCAGGCCCTGTTGACGAGAGAAATCCAACGACACAGCAAGTTTTATCAAATGGTGTACAGCTATATCGAAGATATGACGCAGAAGAGAGTTAGTCGACCAAGATTTGAAGGCTTCCAAACGTCGTATCAGTTGCATCCTGACGGATGAGGCTGGTTAGTCTCTCTTACCATTGCGCACAATCGTACGAGAAGAGTCATCGACTAGTTAACCAGACGCAAGAATCTTTGGACTCCGATCCCCAATCATGAAGAGATCGTTCAAAGACGAAGTTCAGAAAGGGTTTTGGCCCCAGTATCAACAAAACCTACAGAAACTAGACCCCGACCAACATGCGCCAGCATAACGGGAAATGCAAGAGCTCCTGTTCAGAAATTCCCACCTGAACCAAGAAATACAGATGTGTGGGAGAACGGCTGACAACAGACCTGTTTGTTTCCACTGCGGACGTCCTGGACATGTAATGCGCGCTACTGCCGAGAGAGAAAGATGTCTTTGACAGCTCTCGAAACCGCCGACGGAACTTCGACGACGTTGGCACTGAAGAAGAAATACGCCGGACCAAACTCTTCTCGCCGTTTTACGCCAAGTCCCACGAGGAGCCGATCCCCAATACGTCGTTACAGATCCCCGTCGCCGCATCGCCGATCCAGTCAGTCGCCAGGCCGTAGGAGCGAGGAAAACTAAAGAGAGCGACCCTTCCAAGGAGAAAAGGCCGCGTGTACTGGAAATCCTCCGTCGACCGCCAAGATGACTGGTAACCAACTAGACGTAATAATAGATAAGAAAGCCGATACGTGCTCTAGTAGATTCTGGGCATCGTTTCGTCATATCCGATAAGTATCGCCGATTTTTAAAGAAAAAGTTCTGTTTAAGCTGATGCCAAGAGCGTTATGCTGAAAGTTGCGGATGAAATTTTGTTCGGCCGATAGGGAAAATGTGTTTTACGTCCGTATAAACAATCGAGAACTGCTCTCTTTTTGAATTTATTGTTTTATCACATTGCTTAGCCATGACGTCATCCTAGGATGGGACTTTTAGAGGCGTCTCAAGCCGTTATAGACTGTGGACAAAATGAACTTGTTCTAGAAGACATCTGTCGAGACTCCACAGCGCCTGACGCCTGAATTCCCCTCATGCCACCAGAGACTATACACTTAAGCCGCATTCTTTAACTAGAATAACAGTATCAGGATATCAAACCCGAGGAGACATAAATGTTTCTAGACGGCAGCAAACATTTGCTCTTCGAGAAAAATATTGCTACACCGTCCATGGTATCCATATCGTAACGGAAAAGTGATGTCTGGGTTACCAACCTGCAGTTTCGAAACCAAATCATCTTTAGAGGAATGTGCATAGGCCAAGCTGAGCCACTAAATGAAGGGCATCTATGTGTTATTTCCGACACATCGTGTTGCTTGATGACCAGCAAGAAACTTCGAGTCACAGATGAATTGTTCGTTAATGATGTCACCCGAGTTAAGTGACGAACAGAGAAAACAAGCTATCGAACTACTCCGGTTTTCTGGGCTTTCACGAAGACCGACAAGTCGACAGCCGCGAAGACGAATGTGAAACACAGGATTTTTACTGGTGATCATGTTCCAAATCAAACAACGAGCCTACAGAGTCTCGCCGACTGAAAGACGCATCATTCATGAAGAGGTTCAGAAAATGCTTGATGAAGGTATCGTCCAACCCTCTGAAAAGTCCTAGGTCATCACCCGTTGTGCTCGTAAGAGAAAAAAAGACGGTAGTTGGCGTTTTTGCGTCGATTATCGCAAGCTGAATAGCATCACGAAAAAGACGCGTTTATCCTCTGCCTCGTATTGACGATACGCTCGACTGTCTGAAAGGTGCCAAGTTCTTTTCTTCCATGGATCTCCGATCTGGTTATTGGCAAATAGAAATAGACGAAGCGGATCGTGAAAAGACGGCATTTATTACCCCCGAAGGCTTATACGAGTTTAAAAGTCATGCCGTTTGGTCTCTGTA